GCACCGCGCTGACCCCGCGCTCGGTCCGCAGCTCCCCGGCGCGGAGGAGAGGCCCCGGCAGAAGGTCGCCGCTGCCAAGCTCAACGAGGAGATCTCCAGCGACTCGGACGTCGAGAGGTAGCGCCGCGCGTCCCCGTGCTGCTGCGGTCAGGGCAGGGCAGCGCTGCGGCCCCCGGGTGGTGCCGCCAGAAAGGGGGCCCAGGCCGGGCCGTGCCCGCGCTCTTGTCCCCCTCCCCCGCCCAGGGTACACGCTGCATCCTTGGGCAGGGGCTCCGCAGGTCCCTTCCAGCCCGGCTTCTCTACGCCCCAGCGGGAGCGTGATGTGAGAAGCCCCCGGGCGCAGAATCCGGCGCAGGGGTGGCTCTGCCCCGAGCCCTGTCCTGGCTGCTAGCAAAGCCTGGAGAAGCCGCTACCTCCTCTGTCGAGGTTGCAGCCGGGGCTTGATTCCAGGCCAGGCTCTCGCGGGCCCTGCCGGGTGGAAGGGGGTGGAGGAGACTTTCAATGTTGGGCCTGAGCACAGGGTGCTGTGGAAATGCTTGCCCCATCAGTTTGTAACTGCTGACATGACACCTTGAGTAGAAATGTCCGCTTTCTGCATTTTAAAAAAGGCCAATGGGGATATTTATATACTTCAAACAGCTGCCCTGTGCTCGAAGGTCCCTCTTGGCTGGGCATCAGGTAGCAAAGCATGTCTGGAGTACAGTCAGTATGAGTAGAGAGGGGAAAATTATTCCTATGTGTAATTGTCCCCTTTCCTTGTCTGCTGTTTCTAGCCCTGCGTTATCTGGGAAGCGGAAGAGGGACAATGAGGCGGAAGAGGAGATCGAGGAGACAGCTCAGGAAAAGAAGCTGAGATTAGCCAAACTGTACCTGGAACAGCTTCGTCAGCAGGGTGAGCACCTGATAAGCTGGGGGCGATGTGGATGGGTGGTGTAGGGGGTGTTAGGGGAGAGTGCGCTTAGTGAGCCGCTGTCTGGCTGTGGCTCATCCTTGGCTTATACGTGGGGAAAGTGGTCTTCTGTGCTACTTGGAGATGTCGTGCTGGACTGATCTAACTTGATGAAACTTGCTCTTGGAAACAGTCGGTATACAAAGATGAGGCTGTGTTCCCCAAGGATTTCTCAGTCTGAATTGTTTGATCCAAATTAATCTATGGCAAAGCGTAGTTTGTTAATTCAAACTGTTAAGCATGTAAAGGAAATAAGATACGGCCTCTTGTGTATTTGGTACTTCCTTCTTTGCTTACTTTCCTGAACATGGCACTTCACTGTTGTTACACAGGTATACAATGTAAGGCTTGGTTTCTATACATCACAGCGGTTGTGCTGTGTGTGGTGCTTGAGGAATCTGAAGGGAAAGCTCTTCATAGCTATGATGTGGAGCCTGTTATAAATCAGTCACTATTTCTCCCTGGAACAGTCTGGCATGGAGGCACCTCTTTCTTTTCCTAGTTTTTGAGTGCTTCTCTGTCCAGTACTACATCCTGGTTCTACCTCTCTGACCAGGTCCTAGGTTACTGCACTCTACGCATCGGCCGTGACTGTCTGGGCTGTGATTTGGCATGTGTGGGTTTCTCTTTGGGAGTCTGAGTAGCAGTGAATAGACTGACCAGGTAGCTTTAAAATCCAAGTACTAGGCACAAAGCTATTCAGACAGAGTTTTAAAACGGCACTCTGTGCACATATGTAGTACAATCCCTTTCAACGCCAGCAGCTGGCCAAAGCTTGCAGTCTTGTAGGCTCTTCTGGAGTCCAGGGTTTAGTGGCATGGTTTGCTTGCAAGAATGTAGAAGTCTAACTAAGCAGAAGGTTTTAAACCATCAGAGACGGGCTTGGAACTGTGTTTGCATTGGAGAGGTTTACACAGAGCTGTATCAGCTGGGGACACAAGGCTCATACCCTGTAATAAAGGTGCACTGGTATATTGGTGGCATATCGGATTGGCATTGATTAAAAAGAAAATCGACATTATTGGCAATCAGCTTTTTTTGGCTGGTATAGCTGATAATGTCACAGATTAAATGCCATGTACGTATGCACAGTCGCAGCATGCACGCGGCCAGGAACACAGCCTTGCAGCTTGGAGAGCAGGCTCCTGGCAATATGTCTGTGCAGGAGGGAAGGGGCATGGGTGGGGGTGCAGATCAAGGCCCCCACGGTAGGGGAGGGAGGGGGCAGGAGCTGCAGGCAGCTCATTTGTGGGGTGGGGTGGTGGGGCACCTCTCTGCTGCTGTGTGCACCCCTGGTAGAGTCATGGGGAACATGTACCCCCCCCAATATGTGCACAGAGCGAGGGCAGGCTGCCCACAGCAAGGGCCTCTTCCCAGTGAGGGGGCTGGGCCAGGGCCAGGGCTGCGCTCAGGGTGGGGTGGGCAGGCATTGGTGGTGCTGGGAAGGGAGGGCTACAGGGTGGGCTACAGCCACCCCAAAACTCCCCATAACGCACCCCCCCCAATCACCACTGCCTGGCCCCCCTCCCCCATGGGGAAGAGGCCAGTGTAATCCCTGGGCCTGAGCCCACAGTGGGCATCCTGCCTTTGCCCTGTACCCGAATCGGGGGGGGGGGGGGGGGCATGCCCCCCCAGGGGTGCACGCAGCAATGGGGAGCCACCCACTCCTGTGTCGCTCTGACAAGCCACCCATAGCTCTGTCCTGTGCCCTGCCCCATTCCCTTCCTTCACTGGGTGGGCCTCCATCTGCCCCTGCCATGGTGCCCCCCCAAAATGTATGCTGGATGCTGCTTTCCAAGCTGCCGGGCTGCATATAAGCTATCAGATTGGTATTGGCCAATATTTCTGGCTAATAATCGGCCCTTGGTACTGTCCAAAAAAATCTTTATCATGGCGCACTTGGTTCTTCCAGCACCTTCCCTCTCCCTCTCTTCTACACAGCCACAGCTCTGTCAGAAGAAAATAGGTTGGGGGCGGGGCAGGGGAATTAGGGTATCTGTGATGGCAGAAAAGGAACCTCCTTCTGGCAAAGCTGGCCCCATACCATGGCACCCAGCTGTCTTTATGCTGTGGCAAGAGCAGCCTTTGGTAGTGTGGACATAGCCCTCAGAAACCTCTCTGCAGGCTTCTCCCAGGGTCATTCAGTGCTGGTTGGATGAAGCTTCTGCCTTCCTTGCTATGTCCTTCTCCACCCCCATCCTCACACTTTTTCTCAAACTATACCTTGCTAAATCCTTCTGTCTAGAGCTATAGAATTCCTGAGTGGCCTTTCAACTGCCTTTTGTTTTGGGTGGAAATGGGGGCTTAACTCTCCTAGTCTTACAGCCATTTCAAATGGAGATCTTAAATAGAGGGTGGTGGCCAAATCTCATTAGTTTAACCCTTCCTATAATGTTGGCTTGCCTTTCCTCCCGGTAGCTGAGGCAGGCCTGACTTCTTCAGATACAAAAAATGAGCTCCATGTCTTAGCCTGGTTCCCCCAGACAGTTGCCTCCATTCCTACCTTGAGAGAAATGCTTTACAGCCCTTTTTTGGAGCTCTCCAGTTCTTCTGTTCCCTGCCCTGACCCTTAGTCAGCCACAGACCTATAGGAAACTGAGTGCATAGGCTGGACATTATCCCTTAACACCTCTCAAATGTTTTCAGAGCAGTGGTGTATGTTTACCTGTTCCTTGTCTTTTTGCCTGCTTTCCCAAACTGCGTAGTTGACTTACGTCCTGTTCACACAGTGTAGCTGTAGGAACCAGACTGGCATACATTATTCACAAATTGCAGAGCAGCTCCCTAGCATCCAAGGTTGTCACTCTCCAGAGGCTTTTGGGGGAGGCAGAGAATGGGTGAAGTTCCAGGACCTGAACTCAGCACTTGCCAGGTGTACAAGACTTGTCCAGCATGTCTGAGAAGCTCTGTGTGCTCAGAAATCTTCACACAGGAGCAGTTCAGCTTTTTGAAACAGTTTAAGAGTAAGTGTAGATAGCTTACACTGAATGAGTGTGAATGTACTGTTGCTAAAAGGACCTTATTCTGAAATGCTTAATAAGAATGTGGGGGAGATGTTGGGTAGAGAGACATTCAGGCCTTAAATCTGCTACTGATTTGCTGTGAGATCTTGGATGAGGCACTCTGCTTCTCAGTGTCTTCATTTCAGCTCTGGCTTAAAATGGGGATAATCCTGGGAGAGGAAAAAGCAGTGAGCATGAAGGTTTGGCTTTCATCTGCTTGACACCCAAGTTCTGTCTCTATGGACAAGACAAATTGTTTCTTGACCGTAGCAAGCTACCAAATAAAAACAGGAGTGTCTGTTAGCAGGCACTTCGTTTAAAACTGCTACAGCTTTTATGGGTTTGTTTTTTTTTTAATGAAAATTCACCTGCTTAAAATGGCAGAGCATTGGGTGTTTTCATGTATGGCAAGTGTAGGCTGCCATCCCTTGCCCCCACCCCCAGTGAGAGAATCTCCTGGGATGGGCCCACAGATACAGTGTCCTTTCTTGAGCAGCCTTAAAAATTATCCCTGCAAAAGCATGCTGAACCTTTGTGCAACCAGGCAAAGTCTTAAAGGCCTGTCTGTACTGGGGCAGGGGTAGGTGCTGCCCAGCCAGGGTGCAGGGCAGAGCTCCTGACAGCTTTGGTGGGGGGGGGTGTCCCGCTGTGCATATCCCCAGAGAAGGAATGGGGGGGAACGTGCCCCCTGCTTTTGTGTGCAGGGTGAGGATGGGTTGCCCACTGTGGGCTTGGGGCCGGGGGCTGCACGAGTCTCTTCCCTGGAGAGGGCTGGGCCAGCACTGTGTGCAGGGCTGGCAATGGTGGCACTGGGAAGGGGGGCTACGGGGTGGGCTACAGCCACCCTAAAATTTGCTGTAGCCCACCTCCCAGCACCATCACCACCCAGCCCCCTTACTGGGAAGAGACTGGTGCAGCCCTAAGTCCACAGCAGGCCGCCTGCCCTTGCCCCGCGCACACATCTTGGGGGGCACATGTCCCCCCCGCCTCCCCTGGGGGTGTGCTCAGTGGTGGGAGCTGCCTCTCACATGAGCTGCCTGTGACTGTCCTGTGGCCTGCCCTAGCCCCATTGGGGGTCCCTCACCATGGGGGCCTCAATCTCTGCCCCCCACTCTTCTTCCCACCCATCAGCTCCATCCCCTCCACAGACTTGCCTGCCGGACACTGCTCTCCAAGCTGCCGGGCTGCACTCCTGTCCATGTGCATGTTGTGGCTGCGTGCATATGCGCAACATTTATCAGTGACATTATTGGCCAAAAAAAGCCAATTGCCAATGACGTCAATTTTCCTTTTATCAATGCCAGTACAATATGGACTGATATATCAGTGCACCTCTACTGTTTATGCCTTTTGGTGTGGGTCTGGGTAGTCTGGTGTTGAACAGAAGACTACGGTACAGGGAGCTGCTGACCTTTGGCTCAAGGTGAGACTTAAGTCTGGAGTTGACTGCCTAATGAGGGATGCAGTGAATAGGGATCAGTGTACAGAAGTCCTTGTTTTATTGTCTTCTTATCCCCCAACCTCCCTTACTCTGTGCCTTAAGTCTGTCTCTCTGCTTATCTTGGACAGAGGAGGAAAAGGCTGAAGAGGAGGCTTTCAAAGAGGAATTGGTGGCTGGCCGCCTGAAAGAAGATGTGGTGAGTAAGCTGCATAGGCGAGGAAGGCTGGTAGGTGCAGGAGTTCCCTACTTGTACAAGCTGGCTTCCCCTCGTGCACTCCTTGGGAGTCTCCACAGCCTACTCTGAGTGCCTGCCTTGAGGAGTTCGACATGTGGGAGGGAGCAGATTCTCTGCATTTGACCCCTGTATGAGCCCCTAGCTTCTGTAGCTGGCCAGAGCAGAGATAAGTAGCTGCAGCGGGGAGAGGGGATTCCAGGGCAGGGTGTCTCAGTCTTCTCTCAAATAGGTATACACTCTCTGATGCTAAGGCAGACAACTGTTTCGTGCATTGGGGTCGTTTTCTCTGCTAAACTGAGCTGTTCAATCCCTGGAACAGCTCTCTTCTAATTAAACCACATGAGGGCCAAGTGAGATGCACCCCCAAATTTCTCCATTGTCAGACTTCCTGCCTGTACCCTCCAGAAGCCGTTTGCCCTAGCAGCCTATGAACCAATAAGCATGGGACTTGTTCCGTACAAGACATGCCCATTGGCACTCTATCCATGGGGCAGTTGGGCATCTCACTTCCACCCTTAGTAATTAAGCTGTCCTTGTTCCCCACTTCATAATGGTAAAGACCCCTCTCTGGAGCACAGGGGCTGAGGGTCTGTGCCTTTTCTGATCACATCTAACTTGTTCTCCCCTCAACAGCTCGAACAAAAGGGAAAACTGCAGCGACTGATCGCCAAAGATGTAAGTTTGCAAAGCTTCTCCCTGAAAGCTCCACTGCAGACCTCAGCTGAGGCCTCTAGCCATTCTGGGCCAGGGAGGGAGCAAAGCTATTTGCCTGTGCCTTGGCCTGAGTTTCCCTTTCCTAGCTGGTACCATCTCCATTCTTTGAGATTAGTTGTTTTCCCACCATCTACAGCCATCTATGAGTATGCCCTTCAGTGGAACTGAGGATCCTGGTGGGAAAGGTGGTCCATATCTGAGGTTTAGATTTTCTTTGCTCTGCTTCAGCTTCCCTGAGTGACCCTTGAGCTGTATCATGCTTCAGTTCCTCTTCTGTGAGGTTAGGGTCGTAGCTCTGTTTGGCCTTCATGTCAGCTGTGCTTGGTCACCATGTTGATGTGGAGGGGTGTAGAAGTATCTTAAATACTTAAAAGGCCTACAGTTCTACATTTGGGTGTCTGTACTTAAAAGGTCAGTGGTCCTGTCCTCTTGCTGCTCCCAGTGAAGTCAACAGCAGATGGAAATCCAGAGACTGTTACCAATAGGATTCTTTTTGCCAAAGCTCCCCAAGGATTGACACAGCCCCGTCTGATTTGGCATCAAGTGAACTTTAATAGTAACCGCTACACACTATTACAAGCTTCCTCCCTGTCATATGACCTGGCAAGTGGTTTCTTTAGTAGTTATAGCAGTGACCTTTGGTGGCACTGACTTCGAGTCCTCCTCTGGGTGTGTGGGACATTTGTTTCTGGATTTCCCGCTAGTCAAGCAGAAATTCCACAGCTGCCCTCCATCTTCCTAGAGTAGCAGCATGAATACACACTGCTCTTTTGTTTGTCCGTTGCTTTTATAACTTTCTCGTCCTAAATCGTCCAATCCCCAAATTCCTTACCTCATCATTTTAGATAAGGTTCTCCAATCCTATTCAGCTTTTGGTTTTGTTTCCTTTTAGGCAAACTGATATATCTGTTTCACCCACCATACCAGTCACAGCACTCACTTTTTCCCCTGCCTTATAAAATTGTACAGAGTACTTTATTGCTTGGTTCTGGGAAGGCCTAGACTATGGCTGAGAGCCTTTGCATAACTCAGTTTGCCAGCTACAGGGACCCCTGTGCAGTGTATAAAATGGCTTGAAGCACCACAGACCTTGCATGGTGCTGTTTCACAGCAGAAAATAATGGTCCAGAATCATTTGTGGTGTAAAGCAGTGTATTCCTAAGGTAAAGCCAGTAGAGCACTTTGGCCTAGCAAATCTAGCTGGCATAAAACTGAACATGGTGCTCATTCCAGGTCAGAGTTGGGGGTGTAGAATCAGTATTGCTAAGGGCTCAGTGGGGACTGCCACAAGCTTTCTTCTGGAGGAGAGGCCCCAGTAATGGACATGTGTTTGGGCCCTTGTTAATGGGATGCTTTGTATGAACAGCTGCAGCCTCCAGATCCAGCAGAAATCAGGGTGCTACGAGGGCACCAGCTGCCCATCACCTGCCTGGTCATCAGTCCAGATGATAAGTACATCTTCTCAGCGGCCAAAGACTGCTCCATCATCAAATGTGAGTTTCTGCCTCCCTTCTTAGCCAGGGCACTGCAGAGTCCAGTTCAGGCAGTGTGTCCTAGCACTTCCAGAGAATGATAGTAAAGAGCTACCTTGGGCTGAGCTCCCCCTGTGAATGGCATGGACTAATGGTGCTGCAGCGGCCCATTGTGGTGGGTGGGTGGAATAGCTACGTGGTACCCTGCACTGTGCCCCATGCTGTGTAGGCATGGCCACAGAAGCAACATGAATCTGAGCAGGGGGAGAGAGAGTGGGGAGGGCAGGGGTAGAGGAGTCTGCAGTATAGGGCACAGTCCTCCCTCAGGTTTCCGGTGGTGTCTGGCAGGCCAGACACAGCCCGCAGGTGCAGAGGGTAAAGTTAGAAGAGCAGCATGCACTGGGGCTAGTGCAACAATTCTCTTGGAACAAGTAGCCTGTTAGCCCCAAACCTCAGAATTGCCCCTGGCTTGGAGCAAATGAGACCTATGGTGCTTTGTCAGGAGTGAGGCAAGCTGTGTAACATAAGGAGCCTGGGGGAGGGGTTCCTATGGAATGTGGTGGCTGGAGACTAGTGGCTTGTCTGGCTCATCAGTTCATCCTTTGCTTCTCCACCCACTGGGGAATGGAGATCTTTTATCTCCTTGTGTATTCCAAGAGGTGGTGCCTGGGGTCTCTGGCACAGCAGCCCATTTAAGTCTGTAACCTCACTAAAGCCTAGTCCTACAAAGACAAGGTGGAGGTGACTAGTGGAATCTGGTGTCACAGGGGATGTGGAAAGCGGGAAGAAGGAGCACATGATCCGTGGAGGGAAGAAGGGCACAGAAGGGCATGTTGGCCACACAGCACACATTCTCTGCATGGCTATCTCCTCGGATGGCAAATACCTGGTAAGAAGAATTGTCAACGGCTTGGCCCTCCCTTGCAGGTTGGCTTTGAGGGCATTTACATTGTACCTCCTGTAACCTAGTTGCGTTCCCCTCCTCACCCCCATCCCTCTAATGTTAGTCCCTTGCTTGGGCGCTATGTATTTCCCTACCGGCTTTGTCATCTTTTTTGGATTCATAATCCTAAACATCTACTAATAATAGTCCTCAGTTGTGCTGGGATTCAAGGCTTCAGCCACCATGAATTCCTGGCTCTTGCTATTGTTATTCTTACAGACTCTAGACCCCTCCTTATCCCCAGCCCTGCCACTCACTCTCCATTCCTGGCCCACTTCAGAACACGGAAAGGGGTTTGGCTCTGGCAGACCCAGCTGGGCAGTGTTTCCATCTAAATTCTACACGAGTCGCATACTAGCTGTACCTAGGAAGGCTTGTGCATAACTACCCATGTCCTGGTAGCGATGCCTGTCAGACTCCATCTCTTCTCTCTGCCCCAGATCTATCTCTTATCTCTGTCCCAGAAGCTTCGTGGTAGCCATGACCACGTTGTAGTGATCTTGTCTGTGACCTGCAACTGAAACTTGCCAGCCTTCATCTTCTCTGTTGCTAATAGCTCCAGACTGACAGGACCACCCTGAGATGATGAGGAATGGTGAACCTAGTAGTTCTTTGCTCTTCCCAGGGAAGAAAGGAATCTGGGAACTAAACCCAAGTTGGCTGGAGTTGAAGCCAAGCTGGCTGGGACCTTGCCTGCTCGTGGGCTCTGTTCTCTGAGCTTCTTACTGATAGTCTTTATACCCATCAAGCAGTGAGGATGGCTGAAGAGTGTAATTGTACATCTGACTGTGTGGGGCATGTGACCATTGTTATCCAGGAAGGCTGGCTTTGGGCTGAGGTGAGGATGGGGATGAGTGTCCTCTCTCTGGCAGGCCACAGGAGACAGGAACAAACTGATCATGATCTGGGAGGCTGCAACCTGCAAGCACCTGTATACATTCACCGGGCATCGAGATGCTGTATCGGTGAGTGTGATGGGAGAGGCTTGAGTGGGGGGGTCTGTATGAAAAATGGTTCTGGGTACAGGCACCTTCTAGCACCTGGACTCAACCCACTGACCCTGGGATCGCTGGGCAGTGACTGCGGAGCTGGGCCGCAGAGCAGAGTCACTTGGGGAATTTTGGTGGCCTGTTGTGGGCTAGGGGAGTGGGCGTGGTACTGACCAAGGCTGCAACAGCTCACCAAAACTCCTTAAGTGCTCTTTTGGCTCAAATAATTGCCCACCCCTGGCTAAGACCCATGTTTCTCTAGGTTGTGCCTTGGGATGCCTTGTCTCCATGGGACCTTTGTTGTCTTAGTTACAGGAGAGGCTCTTGGAAAATGAGGAAGGGCTGAGTGTAGTGGGGTGGGAAAGCAGCTGCTTCTGGGACCTTCTCACAGTGCTGTCTGTCCTCTTGGAGAATTACTTTCTGAGTTGGTCTCCTGTTTGAACTTAAGCTGCCTGGTTTGCCTCATTCCTGAGCTTGTCTTTCTCCCTGGGAATATGTGTTGTGTGCCTGACAGCTTAGTCCCTTGGAGGGTTGAGGAGCTGAATGTGCCCCTGTTCCGACTGCCCTGTGAGCTCATATTGTTAACCTCTGGGAGCACTTCCTGGGTTCAGAGGGTATGGGCACTGGTGGGTTGGGGCATTGGTGTGCCTGTCCTCTGGGGAATGCTGACCCACTGACAGTTGCCCCATACTGCAGTCCTGGCTGCTTTTGTGCCAGTCTGCTTATCTCGCCTGCTGCTAGTTGTCCTCTTTCTCTCCTGCACATAGGGCCTGTCGTTTCGGAAAGGCACGCACCAGCTGTACAGTGCCTCACACGATCGCTCCGTCAAAGTCTGGAACGTGGCAGAGAACGCCTACGTGGAGACACTGTGAGAACTGAGGCCTCTGTGCCATGGGCTGGCAGAGCTGAAAAGGCTCAGTAGCTTCCAAGGGGGCTCTAGAGATGGAGAGCTGGGCTTTTGCAGGTCTGGGATTCATGGGTGGGGCATCCAGAAAACTGGGGCAGCAGGGTGCACCTTATTTGGTCCCCAAGCTGCTGTCTCTTGGCCCGTCTGCCCAATGAGTGGTGTAATACTTAGGTGTTGCTGAGTTGTCCTGTTGTGAGAATGTGACCAGCAGCTCAGAAGCCTGCCTCAGTGCCAAGCGCCTTAGTGTAGCTACCTTCGACATCTGTGCTCGCTCTTTACCACATCAGTTGAGAGGCACAGCACTGCCTGGCCCATAAGCCCAATAAGGTGCAGCCAAAGGCCATGCTAATCCAGGAGCACATGCAACAGGCCTCCACTGTGCCATGCCCATGAGGGGAGGAGATTCTCTTGGCCATGGAGCTTTGGCAGGAGAGGGGTGAAGCTGCCAAGCTGGGCTCCCTGGATTATTGAGGTGCTCTTGGGACACGTACATGGGAGCCGACAGTTGTACAGCAGGCTGAGGATTCATACTCCATCCTCTTCCTTCCCCACAGGTTTGGACACCAGGATGTCATCACAGGACTGGACAGCCTGAGTCGGGAATGCTGCGTCACATCAGGTGGGAGAGATGGCACCATCCGGGTCTGGAAGATTCCTGAAGAGTCTCAGCTTGTGTTCTACGGGCACCAGTAGGTCTGAGAAGCCCTAGCCCCTGCTTAGGGTTACATGCCATGATGCCTGTGGTCTGCTCTGTTTGTGTTCTCCATCTCTTACAGCAGTCTCCCTGCTAGTTGCATCTTAGTGCCCCTGCCTGTGCCGTGCTGCAGAGATGGGATGAGGGTCTGGACTCCCATCAGCCCATTATTACACTCGGTTCCTCTCAAGCTGGGGTTGGTGGATGTCATGACCACAGCATCCTCCTTTAGCACATGCATTGACCATTGAGTGGCATGCGATGCATTTGGTCTAGCCCTTGGTTATATCAGCAGTACCATCTGATTCATGGGACTTTTGCTTCGAGCTTGCTGGAGTGCCTCCAGGGGTTTGGGAACTCTGGCCATGTTCCCATGTTGGAGCAGCATATAGTGGAACAGTGCCAGGCTGTGCCAGATGGACTGATTCCAGGGATATAACTGGGAGTCACAGGGGGTCGCATACAGTTAGATGTCTGGATGGGATCAGTCAGTAAAAAGGGGAGATCTGCACTTCTTGGAGAAAACCCAGGGAAGGCCAGTGTTCCTCAGGCTGTCTCTCCTTGTAAGTGTCTGTCAGGAAGGCCTCTTAAGGAACATGCTGAGTGTGTCAGTGGGAGCTGGCACTGTGGACAGGTAATGCCTTCTCCTTTAGGAGTTGCATCAGAACAAGCTAGTCCAGGCCTCTGGCATCTGCAGTGAAAGAGTTTGGAACAGCAAAGAAAGACCAAACAAGATCTCTTTTCCTTGCTCCCTTTCCTCCCAGGGGCTCCATTGACTGCGTCCAGCTGATCAATGAGGAGCACATGGTATCTGGTGCAGATGATGGGTGAGTACCTGTGCCAGGGCTGTGGCATCCTGGCGCTTTAATCCCTGGGGCCACTGTCTCTGGCCTCACCAGCTGTTTCTTCTTTCAGGTCTGTTGCCCTTTGGGGTCTTTCAAAAAAGAAACCACTAGCAACTGTGAGGCAAGCACACAGTAACCATGGTGCCCAGGGACTGGAGCAGCCCTATTGGATCTCCTCAGTGGCTGCCATGCTGAACAGTGACGTTGTAGCTACAGGTGCCTCGCGCTGTGAGACCCTAGCTTTTGCTGTTGCTCTGGGCTGGGGGCTATGCAGGTGGGAGGGGGAGGGATGCCCCCCCCCCACTCCCTCCCACCATTTGAGGTCCGGTTTGGAGCCAAGAAACCCAAGGTTTTCCTTTGGCCTTAGGCAGGGTGCTGTGCTGTGCTATGCTGTGCTGTGCCGTGCCATCCTCTTGCTCTGTAAAGCTGGAACAGTGTTGGTCCGGCAGGGAGGGGAGGGTGCTGAGTAGCAGCTTTATGAAATGCTCTGGGGTCACTGCATGTCAGATGTCATTGGGGAATGTATCTAGTGTCCTGATCTCTCAGGGCTCCAAGTGTGGCTCTGCTTTCCTGGGCTTGCATCTCCCAATCAGCCCCAGGGTGTCTGCAGAGCAACAGGCTGTGCCTGCTCTCCTACGTCTAGCATGGGGTCTGGCAAGAAGAGCTGGCATGATCTGGTTGGAGCTGGTCCTGCTTTGAGCAAGGGGTAGACTAGATGACCTCCTGAGGTCCCTTCCAACCATAACTTTCTATGATTACCTTGACACAGGCTCCCACCTGCCTAACATACAGTTTGGTTGTACCTGAATTGTTCTGAGCCTGGACAGACCAAAATGTCAGCCAGTAAATAACCAAATTCAACAGGCTTCTAAAAGGAGGCACCTGAGAGCAGCAGTGTGGGCAAAGTTATGAGTTGGAGGAGAAGGCGCTTCCTCATTGTTCCCTCTCTCCTGTAAGGAAAACAGGCCCTCTTAGTTCTGGCCTAGGTTCTGAGAGGACAGCCCTCCCTGCTGTTGGACTCAGCAACTTCTCAGCCAGTCCCTGATCCTTGCTGCTTGGGGTTAGCTAGGTCATCAGTGCTGCTGGGCCACAGCCCTAGCTTAGAAGCTAACTGATGAGTGAAGAAATATTCCCCACCCCCATGAAAAAGGAGTGATGGGAGCAGGCCGGGAAGAGAGTATGAAAAGAAGAGGGCAGTAAGCTTGAGTTGGCCTCAGATGCATGACACACAGGAACCGACTGGTGAGCTCTGAACAGGGATGATACCTCTTGGGTGGTGGGGAAAGTTTCTGGTGATACCAGCAGGGCCTCTACAGAGACAGGGTCTGACCTGTCATATCTATGTGTTGCTCCACCCAGTTCCCCTCTTCCAGATACGCGTGTCCACTTGCTATTGATCCTGTACAGGGCTGCATTCATCCTGATGCCCAGACTGGTCCCAGTGCCTGCCCAGCAGCTCCTGTTCATGCTGCGAGGGCAGGGGGCCCTGAGGCTTGTGGGATGCTCTTTGTGGATACTGTCTGTGTCCTAGGCCCTCTATAAGCAGGGGGAGATGGGTGTAGTCTGAGGAGGCAGGTGCCTGGTTTGTCCTGAGTGCCTCAGTGAGGAGGGGCCCAGCCAGAACCAAAGGGGCTGCTGGGGGTGCCCTGTGTAGCCCTGTGCAGTCCTCATCTGCCACTCTGTCGCAGGCTCATGCAGCGCCAGCGTGAGGCTGTGGAAGTGCAACGAGGGATTCCGCAAGCTGGAGCTGCTCTTCGACATCCCCCTGGTAAGGAAAAGGCATGGGCACGCTGGTGCCAAGGCTCCGTCTGGCCTGGTGAGGGAGAGGAGAGGGCATACGGGACGGGAAGGTCCTTCGTACCCAGGGTCCCCCATCTCCAGACAAGTGTGGGGCCAAGAGGGGCAGGTGTTACTGAGCACAGGAATGTGCCCAGAGAGGCTCCCTCCTACTTCATGCCTGAATCCTTCAAAGCACCCCAGGGGAGCTGCAAAGACTCCTTACATGTCAGACTGGGATAGCATTACCTCCTGGGAACCAACCACCACAACAGTCCTAGCCTATAGTGGCCCTTGCCTCTTGGAGCTTGTCCTCAGGGCCTTTCTCTCTTTCAGGTGGGCTTTGTCAACAGCTTGAAGTTCTCAAATGCAGGGGACTTCCTGGTGGCTGGAATCGGGCAGGAGCACAGGTACTGGCTGCTTTTGTGCCCTTAGGGCATTCGTTCTCCCACCTTCTTAGTCAGGGCACCCTCCACAAATGTTGGGCTGCTTCAGCTTACCTCGGTGCTTCTCAGCTGGAGTGCTACCACATGCTCCTGCCTCTGTAAGACTTGTCTGATGAGCATAAAGCAGGCAGGAGCAGAATAATGAGCAGAGATCCTGGCTTTCTTCTCGTCCCCTTCAGTGTGCCTCCTGCCAGGAGAAGCATGTGGGCTCAAATCAGGCTGCAGCTGCAGCTGCTTCCCAGCCTGCCTCTGTAGGAGGCATGTGGGACACTTCAACCTGGCCCCAGCATTACCCACGCTGCAGCACTCCTGGAAGGGGTTTCAGCACTGTCTCCCCATATGTCATGGCCTGGAAGAGCCTTTCTGGCAAAAAGACAGCTAGATTTGACTTTTTGATCAGGCTTTTAGACTGTCTCAGCAGCAACAAAAGTTCAGTGATGTACTGGAATGGGGGGAAACCTTCAGGGTAAAGGATACAGGTGGCAGGGGGTGGAAAATGAACCTCCTCTAGCCTTCCTGCCAGCTGACCTGTTCCTCCAAAGCAGTGGCTAGAAGATTAGAGAAATATCCTGTGTAGTGCTGCAAGCCCCAACCCCGCTGCCAGGGCAAAGAGGTTCTAGTCTAGCCTTGCCAGTGATGGGTGTTTGAGCTGGTTGGGGGGAGAAAGTTCTTGTTTCTACTTCCACTTGTGGACTGGAGATGGCACCTTCTGGGTGCCTGGGAGTCTCCTCCCAGCAGATCATGAGGAGCTGTGCAACCTGTTTAAACTGCAGCACCCAGGCCCTTCTTGTGGGGAGTGGGGGCTAGCATTGGCAGCAAGTGGTGTCTTCGGACTTCTGCCTGGCGTGTTCCTCAGGTGGTGAAACACAAACTCAGGGCATCTCTCATTCAGGTTGGGCCGCTGGTGGCGAATCAAAGAAGCCAAGAACAGCATCTGTATCATCCCCCTGAAGAGGATGGCAGCAGCTAGCAGTGTGCAGACGGGTGAAGGCTCCTAACCCAAAACTCCCTCCTGCCTCTGTCTGCACAGTTCTGTCACAGCTGGAGCTTTTGGAAAGAGACTTCGAAGTTCGGTTTTTCATTAAACCATCCCCTCATTTGTATGCCCTGCTGTCTTTGTCTCGCAGTCCATCCTACTTGCCAGAACCTAGGTGGCAGTTGCTAGTGTTGATTGTACACTGGGCATGGGAGGCAAGTGACGGCATTTGGAATGGAGGAGAACATCAGGCCTCCTCGGTTCTTGCCTACCCCTCCTGCAGCTGCCCACTCGCTCCTACCCGCAAAAAAGAAAGTGCAGCTGCCAAACCTGTTCACAACAGTTACGGGCAGAGAGATCTTCTATGTCCATGGGGAGCATTGTGCCATGACAGCCTTGCTTTGGCCCCTTTCCTTTCTGGCCTCCAGCACAGCTGTGCCACACCTCATCGCTGAAGGAGAAAGTCCTCTAACCAGGTGAAGCCCTGCCTCACAGCAGGGCTGGGATCATCCAGTGGAGGCTGAGGGGAGATTAAAGGGAGCAGCACAGGTTTGGGATTTATGGCAGAGATGTCATGAAGAACTTGCTTCCTGCCTACTGAAGGTGGAGCTCTCTGGGAGTTTTGGCCCCTCCTGCTTGTCCTTGGCAGGGGATAACTTTCTTTGGGCAAAGTTAGAGTCAAGCTTGGCTTTGCTGAGGACATCGTGTCATAAGGGAGGAGCTGGAACTTGGCCAAATTGAATGTCTTGGGGTTATGTGAATAAGCAGTGTTCCTTTGGCTTGAGATCAGTCTGGGGCAGTGCACGGGCTGAGTGACAGAGGGACAGGGCATCTAGTACCCTCTGCTGCCTTGTCTTCCCACAGGAACAGACCTCTGACCAGTCTGGTCTCGGCAATATGACTTGCCCTGTCTTCCTGTGCTCAGTTTGCTTTGGGAGATTGTGCATGACTTAACAGTAGGTGAGTTGATCACTGCTGTACTTGAGCCATGCAGAACAAAGGTCACAATAGACCCCTTTCAGCATTTAGGCTCCTGTACAGAGTGCTGCTGCATTTGTTTCTGCCTGGCTCTGGTCTCTGAGCCTAGAGCTCTGCAGTCGGAGAGGGACTTAGACCCTCGGATGATGCATCGGGCTACTTTTTTTTTAAAGTTAAACCAGAGAAGTGGGGGTCTCAGAAATAGGTGCCTGGTGTTGAAATGCTGACCTGCAGGAGGGTGACTTTTCTCTCACTTCAGCAACAGCTAACAGCTGCTTGTTTATTCCTGGCTTCAGGGAAGCTGAGGCTGACTACCAGCAGCTCTGGCTTTGGTCTCTTTTGTTGCCAGCCCCTCCAAGATTTGCCCAGTCTCTTGGTCACAGTGAGTATCTCCTATGCTGGTGAACTGTCAGCAAGCCAAGCCCTTTGCATAAATCCCCAACTGAACTCGGTGCTCATACATACTGGGTGCCAGGAGAGAGAAGAACAATCATTACGTCAGACCCCTTCGTGGCTGCTGTTGCTATTTAGCACCTTTTCATCACTTTGGTCAGTGTTGTCCTTCCTATTTTAGAGATGGGAAAATAGGCACAGAAGGGGAGTGATGGGGCCAATGTCACCCACTTGCCCTTCTCTGTACAGATACTGCCAAACAGGCACCAGCTTGTTACTGACCAGGCATTGACTGGAGCCAGGGACATATCAATTGCTTTGTGACTCCTATATGACCATGGCATCTTGAGGTGCCACCTGAGCATGGCACCCTCAATGCATTGAGCAGCTTACATTCTAAGTAGCAAAGTACATAAAAGAAATGGTATTATCATTTTACTGGGGGAGAGGAGGGCTGTCTACTGCTGAAGGTTGCTTGTAGCTGTTTGTAGAAGAGCAGAGTCCCATGAGCCACCCAGCCCCCCTGGTTAAGAGCTCATATTCCCATGCTCCCTCTCCCCTTGCTTTACACAGAGACTCTATGAAGGCCCCCTGGCTGCTGCAAAGTATTCAATTAAAAAAAATGCACTTTATTTACATAAATTACAAAAATCACAAACTTGTTCACAAAAAAATCTACTCTTAAAAACTCGCATTGTTGGAAATACATGGATCACACTGAGAGCTCTAGCTGAGGTTCAAACAAAACTCACCATTTCTTCTGCAGCCTACAGCATGGGAATTTGCTCTTGTCTGAAAGGCTGCTTCCAAGAAATAGCTTATAAAAATTAAAAAACACCAAGAGATAGATATAGAGTTATATTCCCCAGCCCAGTCTGTCATTTGGTTTTCAGTATTTCCTACTGACCTGGAGCAGCAGGAGTGACGAGCAATGAATAACAGCAGGGGTTGTTCAGTGACATGGAGTAGTGCGCTGATTCTGGGGCTGTTCAGTACCCTGCAGCACACGCCTAGATAGCAGCTGCACTAGCAGTGTTGGTGCTGCTCTGCTGTTAGCTACCCTCCTTTCCTCTCTGTTAGAAGTACAAAGGTGGCAGAAACCCCAGGATGGCAGTGCTCAACTGCTGCATTTCTTAGAGGTCTGTTGGATGCAGGCAGATCCTGTGGTGCCGCCTCATTCTCTAGTTGCTTACCTTGAGATGGGATATGGGGCTGTGAATTCAACCTTGCCCCTTTGTGTGGTGGTACCACTCAGCCCTTCCTACCCAAGAGAATCAGTACAATGGCTAAGATGAGCCTGCTGTCCTGGAGGAAAATGCTGTGGGAAAGAGGTATGGGCAGAAGAGTGCAGCATTGGCACTGGCAGTGTGTCTGAGCTCAGGATGTTGGCTTTCTAGTGCTTAGTACCACCATCCTGGGGCTAGTGGGAGAACGTATAACTGGCAGAAGCCTCCTCAAAGGCATTAGATGTACTTTTGCTTAATTCCTCTGGATTAAATACGTTGATATATATAGATGGTGAGTTTTCCAAGCGGCTAACAATGTAGTTTGGGACAGGAAATGTATTCAGAAGCCGAACTACATTCGGAAGGCAAAAGACAGGTGGCTGTTACATTAACACACTAAGTAGCTTGCGTCTCATGCAACAGTTACCCCTGTGTTTTATAACTGCTGTGTTCCTTTTCCTGCTTCAACTTCCTATGCCAATGGGCAAGACAGTTGCTCCTTGTGTTATTGCCACAGACATACCATGGAGTTGAAATCAAATTGCTTAACACGGTGCAGTAAAGATTTTCTTATGTCCCCCTGCTGATCCTTGTAACCTTTAAATCCCATTGCCCTGTCTTTCCACAGGCTGTTGCTCCCTGTGTTTGTGACAGATGCACACAGACAACAGGAAAACGTCCAACCAGGGAAAAAAATACAAAACCCCGGACCTCTATGGAAGCTGCTGTACAAAAAAAGAAACATCAAGGTGGTTGCCCTACAGCAGAGCCATCTCACTGAGCCTGTGGGCTGCATGTGGCTTGGCCTGGGAGGGGTTAAGTTGTGGCCCCTGGGCTCCTGCCCAGTTGCCACTCCCTCTGTGCTCCACCTTCCTGTGACTTATGCTGTGTCCCTGCCCCAGGGGGTGGGAGTGTGGCATGGGGAGCTGAGGGTGAGCCTGGGACTGTGTGTTTGGTGCAGCAGAAGCAGGGTGGAGGGAAGGGAGAGGTCTGCACAGCATACAGCCCAGGGCGGGGGCCATGGCTTACCCTGGTGTGGCCCTCAGTCAAGTTGGACAGCGCTGCCTTATAGTAAGCTTTGGAGCTATTTGTAACCATAATAAGTAAAATAATTCAGTGTGAAATTAATGTCTCTTCAAGGTTTTTTTCTTCTTTTATTTTTATCTCTTCTGCTATGTAAAGAAGCCCTGGAAGGATTGCTTTTCTATTAAAAAAAAAAAATTAACAGCCCTGTTTGGTTTTTACTTTATATATATCTGGGCTATCATCTATCAGACTATAGATATATTAGAAGAAAATGAATGATGAGTAATCAGCATTAATAATCTTGATATCCCTGTTTTGGCTAAACATTGTGAAGGATTAGAGACTGCAGATAGGGGCTTTTTTAGCCCTCAGTAGAGAGGGATCAGATATGACATCTTTGGAAAGACAGTTTTTCTCCCGTGTGTTTGCCAGGTGTCAGAATTCATTGGTCATTTACACTATAAAAAAGCAAAAGCTCTTTAAAATGCTGTTAAAAAAAATCCTTCTACCTCTTTCAATCTTATGATGTCTTCAGTGTTCAGTCCTAGGGCAAGCACAGGGGGTATCAAGACCTATGGGTAATGTTTTGAACAGGGAAAGTGGGCAAAAAAAGCAAAGCATTATTTTTTAAATGCCTTTCAGGCCTAATTTAGCCACTGGGCAGGAAGGAAGCAATTGGCAATGGAAAACGAAGAGATTGAAAAGCTCTGAGCAGCTTTCTTAGAAATGAACAAAACGGAGGCTTCCTGCCTTTCTCTGCTGGCTCTTGGGTGATAAAAGGACCAAGAGGAATGCAGAGAGGGAGGGAAGCAGATTAGCCATCTTTCCTCTGATGGCATCTTGGAGCTGCTTGGAGAGCTTGTGGCAGGAAGGTTCACTGCAGTTTTCCTTTCTTCACAAACATCTGCTCTCCCTGCTTGTGTGGCTTCCTTCATGTCAGAAGTTCTGGTCGGGGTTCACTGGGGCTGTTTTGATCACTGCCCCCCGCCCCAGTTCAAAACTGGGCTGGTTGGTTTTGAAGCAAGTAGTGATTCACGTGGGGTCCAGCTTTGAAGCCCCCTTTGCCAATATACAAGGTGCAGAAGCAGTCCATACAGTGCTTTCTGCTGCAGATGGGAGCAAAGAGCAGAGAGGGTGCCTAGGGGATCTGGCCTGCTGCCTGGTTTGAATATACCCTAGGGAGCAAAGGATCAGCAGGGGACACAGCAGTGAGGAGCAGTGTGTGCGCCCAGTGAGTCTGGCACAGCATGAATCCTATCACCAAGTACAAAGGAAGCAGCAGACCTTGCCCGCTGCCTCCTACATTGCCTAGGAGCAGCAACCTGTACCCACCGTTCCTTGTCCCTGCCCAGGGGGAGCAGGAGGCAGCGCTCCCCTCCTGTACCTGCCCAGTTGTCTTGTCCTGTCCATTTCCCTTTCTGTAGGATTTGTTTCATCCTGTTTCTTAATCTTCCCCTCAGCCCTTCTGCCAGGCTCCTGAACAGCAGCTATAGCCACCCCTTATCACAGGTGCCCCCTCCCTGCCCCTGCATCATCATAACATTTGATAAGGATAGGCCAGGCAACAGACTCATCCACCTTCCATGGCATGTATGGTACGTGAGTCCTCCTCTCCCTGCCCTGGAGAGCTGTTGTTTAAGAAATCTATCCTGGAAGCACCTTGATTGTCTGTCTCTGAGGGTGGTGGGGTCATATTCCACGTGGGGAGTTCCCTGCAAAATGAGAGATTGGGCCTTGAGCCCCCAGTTAGCTCACCTTAGTTTGAAATCTTTCCCAGTGCCTCCCAGCATCATGGGCTGCAAGGAGGTCCTGGCTTTTACCTTCAAACCATAGCACCTTGAATCCCTTGGGATTGTTCTTGCAGGGATGTAAGAGTGGGGATGGAGGGAGTTGCTCTTCATTCTGGGGAAGAAAGGATCAAAAGAGAGCAGCCTGCAGGATTTGTTCCCTTCTGTGGATGCCTCCAGGCTCCTATTTCAGGGAAGAGAGAAGACAGGAGCTATAACTGCCTGGGCTTTTCTCTCTTCAGTAATTTGTCCTGTGAGAGCTAACATGGGGCTGAAGCTGCCAGGAGAGACTTCTGATTCCACAGAGAAAGAGTATGGTCCATCCACAGCCCAGCTGGTCCAGTAAGTACAATCATGACTGCAAGAGTAGGTCTGTGTGGCTCCGAGCAGGGGTTTGGGAAGAGGAGGGGAGCAGGACAGCAGCAATTGCCACCAGGTTCTCATGCGACGGTTGCTTCCCTTGGGGATAGCTGGCCCAGCGAGGCATTGCTGGGAGAGGGCTGGGAGGACGGCTTGGAGAGACGACAGGCCCAACAGGAACGCAAAAGGCATGTCTGCAGCGGGGACCACAGAGACAGCACCTGCTTGCCCAGAGCGGACACTGGGCACTTCATAAGGACGAGGTTGTGGAGTCCACCACCTCACGCCCATTACACACGGTGGGGACGTACTGAGAGGCCGACCCTGGCAGGGGAGGAACATAGAAAATCATCAATAAAAAGCAGGTCTTGATTCCCAGCTTAATCCTTCCTCCCCCTTCATGGTGTATCACATCCCCCGCATTACCTGGGGAGTCACTGGAGCCACAATGGGGCTTAGCTGGGGCTAAGTTTGACCACAAGCTTTTGCCCAGGGGTAGACCCTTCCTGGCTGTGGCCCCAAATGTAAGACAGTGCAAGTCACGTGTGTGTCCCTGTACCCCAGCAGCTGTACCCTGCTTTCCCACCACCAGGCTTCCCCTCTCCCTCACCCGGGCAGCAGTCACTGGCACTCTGGAGGCCTCAGCAGCATTAGCAGCCATGCTGGTACCTGGCTATTAATGGTGGGGGGGATTGGAGTGGCAAGAGGGTCTCAATGGCTTGTACCATTAGTGGGACTCGGTGCTTGTTCCATTAATTGGGAGGAGGTTGCTCAGTGGTTCATGCCATTAATGGAGGAGGAAGGTTGCAATGACTGGTGCTATGAATGGGAGAGAGGGAACCCATCGAGTTGTCATTACGGTGTGGAGTGGGCCACTTGATGGCTTGTTCCACCACTGGGAGAGGGCAGACAGTGCTGTCAGCCGTTTTCTGTCTGAAGAGTTGCTGATGTGTGAATTTCAGTGCTCTTGAACCAGAGATAGAGCACAAGGCAATATAGCCGGGCCCCTCCCTGCAGCACTTGGGTCCCCTTAGCTCCGAGGTTCCCCCAATGGGACTGCTGCAGGGCCCCACCCCCAGGCAGGGCTGGCCCACGGTGGCTGGGGCCATCAGTCACTCACCATGTGAGTGGCTGGAGCCTGCGGCAGTCGCACTGAACCGGTTCGTCGCAACACGGTGGCTGGCGACATTCTTCTGAGGCTGGAAGAGGATGATGTGCAGCTTGGGTGTGAAAAGGCAGCCAAGGACCACAGTGCCACTGAGACTGACAGAGATACACATGGTGGTGGTCTGGACCTAGAGGAGTGAAGGGCAAGCATCAGCCCAGATGCACACAGAGAGGGGCCAAATATGTACGTGCTGCCTACTTTGCTCAGCTGCAAAGACATGGCAGGGCATGCCCATTGCAGGCCAGAGTTAAAGGCTGCTCCACAAGTGCCAATGTCATGTCCCCAGCCTGGGGGGGGCCATCCACAGATTCTTTTCTAATGGGCACTACTTTACTCCCATCATGGCAGAAATGGGCCAGAACAAAAGCTCTGAGCTCTGGGGAAGCCTGGATCTAACTCTAGCTCCAGACGTGGAACTTAGCCGGCTATCACCTCTATCATAGGAAAAACCCAAATCCTTGTGCTGCAAACGTGGCAAAACCCTTAACTTATACCAGCTGAAAAATGTCCATGTTCAGCCTCATGTCTGCTTCCTAACCAGATACAAATCTTCACCCTTTACCATGAATGGCGCGTGCCCCAGCGGCTGTCGGGGCATGGCAGTGGTAGGAGCGCAGCAGCAGTAAGTGCGGAGCTCCCGCAGATACCGCTGGCACTGTCGGCAGCAGGGGGAGGGAGAGGTGGTGAGCACTGACCAGGGGTCAGCAACCACCCACAGGCGCTGCCAGCAGCGGCGGCCAGTGGGGACTGCTGACCACCTGTAGACGGGGTGGCAAGCAGCGAGTGTCCACAGGTGCCACCGACAGTGTCAACAGTGCCTTTTCATAGGGGTGCACTGCCACGCTCAAGGAGTGCACATGCACCCACATGCACCCCCCACGTGTCGCCAGTGCCCTTTACAGACACACACACTATGCCAGAGTTGAATGGGACTCAGCCATCTAGGTTTACAAGGTTTTGAACTGCTGGAAGGAGCAGGAGTGGGAGGTATGTACACATAGGCAAACAACCATTCATATAGTAGCCCGGACTACTAGCTGTGCGATGGTGGTGACGTGCCGTACCCCAAGAACCCCATACGTTCAAGAAGCGTTTGCATGATTATCTTGCTGGGGTAATTTGACCCCAGCTGACTTCCTGCCCTTAGGGCAGGGGGCTGAACCTGATGATCTCACAAGGTCCCTTCCAGCCCTAAGGTCTATGAAATATAATTATATATACAATATAACCGTATATAATACAACAGCAACAAAAATAATGATAACTACATGGTCGAATCAACCCTGTCACACGTGCTGAAGTAATTGCTCATCACTTTTCAGGATCAAGCAACATTATCTAAGAAGAAATTCTTCCATGTTATCCTGTCCCAAGTCACCAGCCTCATTAGCTGCCACACCCGCTACCTCTCTTGCTTGGTGAACAGCGGATGAGCCTGCCACTGATGGAAGATTTTTTGGCTGTCAGTGCACGTAGCTGAGTCCTGTCAGTTTCTCATTCTGAAAACGTGCCTGTTTTTGTCACATGCCCTAATGCAGGGCCAATATCCTCTGTACACCGGGGTCCCCAAGCCACTTGGCCTTATGTAACACTCGAGCCAGAGACTGCTCATTCCTGCAGCAGACCAATGCCCGGGAGTGACTGTTCAGTCTCAGTCAGAGGCTCCAGCACTCCTTCCCTGAGGTGCTCAGTCATCCAGATTCAAGGTCTCAGGAGGTGGAGGCTGAGGCTGGCCTGCCTTGCAGCCTTCTGCACTGAATCCAGGCTGCCGCTCTGCATATGACACATGCACCTCCTTCTCTTGTCCTCATCTCACATTACGGATTGTGTTCTAATGGCTTGAATTATTATTATTTTATTTTCTATTATTTTTCCATAACTAACAAATAAGTGAAAGCGACAAGCTGGCATTTTCCAAGGAGTGAGTTAAGGCTAATAACAGGTTTCTTGGGTGAATCTACACGAGACGCTTTACTTGAAATTAAAGCAAATTATGATACAGTAAGCATCACCATCTACATGTGGAGATGCTTACTGCACAGTAACTTGCTCTAATTGCAAGTAAATTTGCTACCTGTAAATACAAGTAGCAAATTTACTTGCGATTACTTACTGCGCTGTATGGCACATGTAGATGGCCGACCAGGAGCAAATGTGCTCCTAGACAGCAAGGGGTGGGGGACTGCTCCCTGTTGCTGGGAGCTGCCTGCTGCTGGGGCAGGCTCGACCACTGGAGCCTGGGCGGGGGCAATGTCTCCCTGTCTGGGCAGCAGGCAGTTCCCATCTCCCGCTCCCTGATCACAACTGGGGAGTAGGGGGGTGAAAGTTCCCTGCTGCTGGGGCAGGGGGACATTGTCTCTGCCCAGGCTTCAGTGGTGGAGCCTGCAGCTCCAGGTGGCAGGGAGCAATGCCCCAGCCCCCTGTCAGAAGACACCTGTCTCCTAGCCCCATGCTCCCTGCCAGCCCCTGAGCTAGCATCCAGGGTGAGCCTAGAACTCCCTCTGGCTGCTGTAGGGGGTGGGTGCAGGGCTGGCAGGGCAGAAACAGTCTGCTGCCATGAGCAGCAAATCTGCTCCCACTTCCCTGCAAGTGTAGATGCCTGCCTGGGGTGGTTTTACTCTAGAGTAAATTATTCAAGAGTAAACCCACCCCAGAACATTTGTACATGTAGACGTGCCTCTTGACTCTAGAAAGGTTGAGAACCACTGCTCTACACCCTAGATAGCAGTGTCAGTCCAAAATTACAACCCAACCAGCTACAGTCTTAAAGATGCTAAATAGGCTCATTTGGGGCTAATTTGATTGACAAACACACCATTCTGCCCATTCCAGATAATCACATGTATTTTCTGGACCATTGTGGCTGCAACAGCTCTTCAATCCTACCACATGTAGACAGAGCCACAGAAGAGCACTTGAGGAGGGGGTCTGAGCCTACATAAGAGAAACTCAATTGAGATCAACAGGGTTATGCAACTATTAAAGTGCAGCAGGGTTGTCTTCCTCCAAAGGACTGTGCCCCTGGACATCTACATAACGTGGGAAGGGGATAACACCACTCTACAGATGTACAGCCATTTCTGGGTACTACGCTGAATGATCAATGGAATTTATTGATTTCTAGGAAAAGATGTTTGGAGTTTTTATGGGCTGATTCTGATGTCACCTACATCTTTACACTGTAGCCAATAGTGTTACACCAATGGAATATTATAACTGTGCTTTCTTATACATGTTGCACTAAGACCCAGTATACTCTTAAGTGCTTTATAAGCCCCAAAGAAGGGTGGTCTGGCTTTAAGCAGATCACAATTTAAAGAAGCCAGAGCTATTTTAAGTCTTTTAATAAGAAGCTCATCAGGAACATCTTCAGCCCCTGTCACCCACCCTCTGGCTTTGATTCATGCTCCTGACTGCTTCATTATGTTTTATATGTTAGGTCAGTGATGGATTAAAGGCTGTTCAATGCAGAGAGCATGAGGACTTACTGTCACGTATGCTCAGGGTATGGACATTACACAGGGTATAAACAACCACTGCCCAGGGGCAATGCATAGAGGGTGCACGCGGGTGCACATGCACCCCCTGCGCGTGGCGGTGCACCCCCCGCAAAAAGGCGCCACCGACACTGTCAGCGGCGCCTGCGGGCAATCCACGATTGTCCCTGGCTGCTGCCAGCAGTGCCTGTGGGTGGTCACTGACCCCTGGTCAGCACTTGCCACCCCCCCTTCCCACTGCTGACAGTGCCGGTGGCATCTGTAGGAGCTCCGCACTCACACCACTGCGCTCCCGCCGGCGCAGCCATGCCCCCCCAGCCGCCGGAGGCATGTGCCATTCATGCCACTGTCCATGTGTACACTTTTATCCACATGGAATTAGACCCATGGTATCTCTACTTCACTGGGGGCTAAGCTACCACGGGTGAGCTTCCACTCACTGGGCACATTTACATAAGATGCTTACTGTGCAGCAGCCTAATAACACTGTGCAGTAGAGTGCCAGTCAAAAAACATGCTAATATGCTACTGCACAGTGTTATTAGGCTACTGCACAGTAAACATCATAGAAAAACTGCTCAGTAGCACGAGTTACTGTGCATTTAGTTAGTACTTCATTAAGCAAGTACTAAATTAAAAGCGCAGCAACTACTGTCCATTAATGAACATGTAGATACGCCCAATGTGATATAAAGGCATGCACATAGACAGTTACTTTTGAGCAGATGATACTCAGTAAAGCCTATCCCAGTTTAAACAATGGACACATGTTTGTATGTCTATACCTTAAAAGTGACTGAGGTTACCGTTCTATTACACTGGAAAATGACTCCAAAAGAATATTAAGATTAAAAGTCAAGTTCTCTAAATGAAGGAAAAGTCAGAATTAAGGTTGTCCATACATCCCTAAATTAGCCTGCATTGTAAACATGCATTATAATATAGTCCTTAATGACATGATCCCACATTATTTTTTCCATGGGACCCCTGCCTGATTCAGGGACCAGGATGGAAAGTGTTCATTGAATGAGCAGAGCTTCAATATTGTGATCTCTGTCACTGCTCTGTGCATGGCCTCAGGCCTATTTACAATTCAGATTCTGCTTTGAAAAGAGAATTGTTAATTTCCTCCTGGGCTTCTCTACAGTGCTCATCACTGTAGTAGCTGAGCACTTCACACATATTAATGAATCTATTACCCTAGTTTTATGGATGGAGAACTGAGGCACAGAGGCACTGATGGCCAAAGTGTCCATGGATTTTGAGTGCTCAATTTGAGACCCGTAGGAGTTCAGCTTGTAGAGCACTTAACAGGCTATGGCATTTTCTGTGTTCAGAGCACAGCTCCAACTGCCTTCATGCTCAGCCCTGCTGTATGTTGGGGCCCAGGTACAAAAATATATCTATATGCCTCTAATAAAGCTTCACAATCTCCATCAAAATCCCCATGAGGTTGCTCATTATCACTGTCCCCATTTTGAAGACAGGAGAAGGGATTTTACCCAGTCATTGGTAGGATATGGAACATGACCCAAGGCTCCTGGATCCCTGCCTGTTTTACTAACACTCAAGCCATGCTTCCTTCCAAAAACACTGTAAAGCATTTCTCCAGTTTGTATCATTAAAGACTGTTTTCTGCTGAAGAGCTGTAACATGGCTGGGTTTTGACTCTAACATTCATCTTATTTCCCACTAGGTGCTGCTGTTCCTCTGCAGAAATGCAAAAGTAAATGAGCATTTCCTCAGCATCTTTCTGGACCCCTGGCTTCTGTCTCCTAGACATTGCATTACCAAACACTGCAATGAGTACAGGGGCTAGTGATTAGGTTTGAAGCATTCCCTTCTCAGTCTGACTCCATTCCAGATGAGGGAACTAGTGCTGCTGTTCCTCGAGGGGCTCAGCCCTCAGAGTTGCAGTCTGCAGAGGGCATTGGGCCACGAGGTGCGAGTCTGAGGGCTTCGCCCTCTCTGCCAAAACCGCGCACTCCTCATTCTGCCACTTTGTGTTTTGTGCTGCTCCTGCCTCCCCAACTACTGCCGTGGTAATGCCTAGTTTTCTGTTTCAGTTGCATCAGTAAAATCAGTTTCTTTGACTAGTGACTCCTGCCAGTAGGCATTTAACTCTGTAAATAAAGGGGAAGCCAGTGTGTTGGTCTCATCCTATGTCACAAAGCCAGCCATACCAATTGGTGTTCAGGCCTGTAGCACTGGCAAAGCAATGTAGAGCCCAGGGCTTGAACAGGGAGGGAGGATTGTAACAGAGCTATGGGGAAGCAAAACCTTGCATAGAACTCATCTGCATTATGGCTCCTGTGCACCAGCTTACCCCTCTCATCAGCACCCCGAAAGACCTATCCCCTTCCTCTTCTGTAGCAACTGAGTGAGAGCTGTGCTTAGCCCTAATCCTGATCAACGTGGGTCATGACAACTGCCCTCAGGAGCTTTTCAAGAAGACCCAGTTGAAGAGTGGGTCTCTAATAGGCCTATGCGAAGTGGCTAGTATTTGCTTCAGATTTGGATTTGGCTGATTCGGGGGACAGTGATTCGATTCAGTGATTCAGATCACTGTCCTGAATCAATTCAGCTGAATCTGATTCAGAGATTTGGCCGCCAACAAATTGGCCAAATCTCTGAATCGGCCCCATCCCCCATCTGCTCTCCCAGCCCCGTCAATGGCTGCTCTGCCCGACCCCAGCTCCCGGCTCTTTAAAAAAAAACAACCCGGCACTCCACAGACCCCCAATGCCCTACACTTGGTGGGGGGCTCTGCTCACCGGCAGAGTCCCCAGAAACCCCAATGGCTGCTGCAGCACCCAGTGAGTGTGGGGCTTTTTTTGTTTTAAGAGCCAGGAGCTGGGGCAGGCGGGGCAGCCATTGGAGGGGCTGGAAGAGTGGGCAGGGGTCGGGGGGCTCATGGCACAGCCCTCCACACAGTGCAGGGCAGTGGGGAGCAGCAGGGATTGCCCCCCCTGACCCCCGCCGCCACCTGGCAGCAGCCGGTGAGTGGGGTTTTTTGAGAACTGGGGCTGGGCGTGGCAGCCATGGGGGAGGGCTGGGAGAGCGGGCAGGGGTTGGGGCCTGGCTGAGGTCTCCCCATGGTCCCCTTGCCCCCTCATCCAGCCCCCCCTCCCTCACCCCCTATTTACCAGCACAGAGTCCCAATCCAGCTCCCTGCGGCAGCGAGCAGGGACTTCCTGAATCTCCGAAGCTCTCCGAATCTTTTCCAAATCTATTCAGAGAGCTTCAAATCGATTCGGACCTTTTAATTGGTCTCCTGATTGGATATGGATTTGGAGATTCGGCCACTGAATTGGGCCAAATCTCCTCTGAATCGAATCAGTACCTGAAGCTTTGCACAGCCCTAGTCTCTAACGACCAGGAGTCCTTCCTGTTCCTTTCCCCCAGCACTGCTGCAGTCCACGGGGACTTGGAATACAAGGCTGTAGCCAGGCTGTCCATTACACATTTTCTCACCTTGTCAGCCATAGAGCCTTACAGATAGGATCACTTACCCGATAGTCACTGGAGGTGACATAGAAGATGGGCAAGAAGGCCAGCCAGATGATGCATGTGGTGTACATGGTGAATCCAATAAATTTGGCCTCATTGAAGTTTTCGGGGCATTTCCTGGTCTTGAAGGCATAGACTGTACACAGGACGATCAAGAGGACATTGTAGGTAAGTGAAATGAGCATGCTCGAGTCCCGGTTGTTGCACTTGAGGGTGACAATGTACCTTTTGTCAGGCTCTGTCTCCTTTCCCGTGCCAGGGGTCTCCACCATGAGCCAGATGATCACAATGATTAGCTGGCAGGAGATGAGGGCCATACAGATGACCACCTGTGAGGTTGGGCTTATGAACCGTGGGCGCTGAACCCCTTCTTTCACCCCGCTGAAGATCCTAGCAATCCGGTTGGTCTTGGTCAAGAGGGCAGAGTAGCAGACAGCAAAGGAAGTGCCCAGCCCCAAACGCCGCAGAGTGCAGACCTCAGTAGAGGGCTTTGTGATGAAGATGAAGGTCATGCTGTAACACATCAAGACCCCAGTGAGGAGGATGTAGCAGAGTTCACGGCCCGAAGCCTTCACAATTGGTGTGTTATTGTTCTTTATGAAGACCCCAAAGACAAAAAGGGTTGAGATGAAACCCAAGCAAGAGATGGTGACTGGCCCAATAGCCCAGACATCCTTCCAGCGGATGTACTGCTGGGGCAGCTCAAAGCAGCCATTCAGCGTCTCATTGGGCCAGTACCCAAGACCACAGTCCATGCAAGTGAATTCATCCAGGAGATATTCGTAAGGCTGGCATGGGATGCAGATCCAGCAGCACATATCTCCTGGCTGCATGCTCTTCATTTCATTCTTCTTGCAGGGATCGCTGCACTGGGACACAGGAACAGAGGTCTTCACCCATGGGATGAGGGTGATATTGAGGATAAGCCCTTCTGCCCAATAGCCCACCTTCTGGTACCGGTATCTCCCATCAGCTCTGTGGTAGTTGAAGATATTGTAGCGGCCAATTCCATCACCATATCGGTCGAATCTAACCATGTTTTTGGTGTCTGCTGGTCTGAATGGAGCTGTGGGAGGAGGACAAGAGCAAGAGATTCAATATTCAGGAAGGCTGAGCTTTCTCACTTATTTGGTCAAAACGTTGAACATTTCTTCCACTGCACCCTTGACACTAGGATTCAAAGGAGTGGTGTTATATTAAGAGCATGTCAATGCTATGTCCTTGGGGCTTGTAGGGGAATGAGATGGAGAAGATAACCAGGAGGTAACCACTGCCATTGCTCTCAAGCTGTCAGCCTATTTCAAAATGGCAGTGGAAGGTGCCCTTGGGGCAGATTTATCACCTCATTCCTGGCTTGGGTGTGGAGTGGGACTGGGTGCACTGGAAGGGGGGAGATGCTGTGTTTGCTAGCTGCTTCTAACTAACACCTTCAAAACCTTGAGTCAAGATGAAGCAAGCTGCATTGCCTATCACTAGCAAAACCACCCTGTCACTTCTGAGCAGAACTGACTCAGTCATTCACAATGAGAAATGCACTTGAGCAAACACCTTTTTTTAAGATCATGAACAAGTCTCTACATTTTCAAATCTCTCTATTTTCAGAATTGTTCACATGTTTGCTTCAGCAAGTAATTCTTACCCTGTGGCCTATATAATTCATGAATATTACAATCAAATCTTCAATCTGTTAAGTTGTCCTACTAATTTATGAGGCTTACTTTGATTACAGCATGACTTGTGAGATGTATAGTTATTTGAATATTCTTAATTCACGCTCTGTTGGTCAGTTACATAAACTATCCAATCAGGGAACATAATTAATGCCACATGCCTTGTGTAATTAACCAACACAGTGTGAATTGCAAATTGTGAATTTTACAACTCAGTATACCATCTGGAATTCATTTTCAGTGACTCCCCCTGCATTCAAGCTAATATTTGCTTACTGTGAGTATTTGTGCTTGTAAAGGAGTGCTCAGATGTTACTAGAAAGGAAACATGAGAGCATCATGAACACGACTGCATCCAAATTCAGGTTGAATTTGAGCAAATATTCACAGACTTTCCCCCCACACAATTCACATTTTTCTGCCTTGAATGTTGCACTGATTGCTCAGTGGTTGTACTACTGCTGAGATCTGATATACAAAGCCTGGTGTCTTCCTAACATTATATTTCTTTTTGCCTAAATACGTCCTTTTAACTTGATGATCAATTCACTCCCCAACTTCTGCTAATATTTCAGTTTGGCTAAAAACCTGTCATGTAGAACTACTGCATTTTTCTCCCAGAGATTCCTTCCTAATGAGATCTATGATATAGTACATTCATCCAAGAAGTACTGACTTCTCCAATAGCAGCCTGGCATCCCCAGGATATATAGGCTGACCTTAAGGAAATTGGGACATCTGGGACATTTATCTGGGACATTCCCCCTGCTCCCCCCCTCCTCCCCCCACATGTCGGTGGGGGTGGGGCAGCATGCCAGATAGGCAAGCAAAGCAGTCCATGTTACGCCAACTCCCAGCCAGACTGCACCCCACTCCCCTGCATTTCCAGGACTCTCATTATAATTCTCTACAGCCAGCCAGGACCAGCCTCTGAAATCTGGGACTGTCCCAGCTAAGCTGGGACATATGGTCACCCTGCTCATATATGAAACCAAATATAAGCAAATTGGCAATAGCTCCATCTACATGGCCTCTCAAAAGACTTGTTGGGAGCTGAGTTTTATAGCCAGGTACTCAAGGATAACACCTCCAGCAAGGTGCTCTTCACAAGGTTGTTGGGAGATGAACTATGTACATGTTACACTGGATAGCAGCTCCATTGACATGAAGCTGGGCTATGGGGAGCAGAGTAGACAGAGAGCAGTGTGCTCAGCTCCCAGTCTGCTCCAGAAGCTGGGATCCCAGAGGAAGGTTCCTGCTGGGGGAGGGCTCTCAGGGTACTGTTTCTGCCCATTTTAAGGCTGGCACAGCAGTATAGAAGGACTTTGAGCCAACTGAAATTCAGGCCCAGATAGAATCAGAATGTTACACGGGATAATATGTCTAGAGATAAACTTGTCCCCTCCCCAGTGGAAGCCATGCTAAGCTTTCAGACAAGCCTAACCCCTCAGTCTCTCAACTGTCTGGAGAGACATTATCTCAAAATTTACTACTTTATGGAGCTGCTGCCACTATAGCTATGCAAGCAACAGTATGTCAGGCAGAGCCCCTAGTGGCGACACAACATGTGTCAGTGAAAGGGGACTTTCTGCCTGCTCTGCTCCCCTTGAAAAACAGAAGTTAAGCTGGCAGAAGCCCTCTTGTGTACAGAGCTGCACCCACACGGTGGGGCTGGCCAGCAGTGCTACATCAGTGAGAAGTTATGATCTTATCTATCAGTCACTTGTGTGGAAATAAGTTTAACCAGGCCTCTTACTTGACTAAGAGGAGAGACAAAGAGAGAGAAAGAGAAGAGAAAAAGATGCTGATGCTATGTGTTTCAAAATGTTCTAAGATAAGAAAAACCTTCATGCCTTGTTTTGCCTTGATATATTAAGCTTTGTGTGCAGATTTTAACCTCCTCCTTTCCTTCAAACTAGAAGCTTATAACTGTTCCCAAAACATAGTGTTTTCTTTCCTGAATAAGTAAACTGCTTGCGTGTGACAAACAAATGATCAACATCTTTCTGTTTCTCTCAAGGTTGCTATGTCTGAACCCTGCATCTTTTCTCGCTGTCTAAAGTATAAATACGCTTGTAAACTTGTAGAGGTCAGAGTTCCTTTGAGAGCTCTCGCTGTGATCACTTATATAGCTTTAAATAAACCTAGATGGCTCTGCCAATTCTAATACAACCACAACGCGAAGTTTGATTTCTTCCACATTTGGAAGGAAGGAAGGAAGTCCTTGGTCTGTAGAACACCTCAAAGGCACATCCCTCTAGTGAACTGATCTTAATGAGGTGCAGGGGAACATGCTTTGCCTTCCAGTTTAGCACAATGCAATTCTCAGCAGCAAGTCATTCCTGTAGAGTGCATGACTTTTAATTACTCACAGGCAGCTGGAATAAACCCAGGATGCAAAGAAGGATGCAGCTTGGAAGACACTGACTCATCCTTGCTTCTGTGGTATCTAAAACCAGGGGAGCAAATGTTTCAGAGCTCAGAGCATGTGCCTGAAGAGTCTCCGAGGAGCTATACACCTGGGGTATCAGTCAGCTGCACATGGGGTCAGCACTATATCACCTCACCAGAAAAAGGCCTCTGAACTACTTTAAATTGCTTTGACTTGTATCTGAACACTGTCTCCCTGACGAGAATGCTGAACATAAGGAAGAAGAGACACAACCAGTCAATTCTCCAGGCATGCCTGTCCTAGCTGGTTATATAGATGTTTCAGAAGAAGGGCAGGATTGATGTGGAACATGTGATCAGTCTTCTCCAATATTTTAGTGCTAAATGTTAAGAGTTAGGTTATTAAAGTAATTGCGAGTGGATCTAGGATTTTGAAAAGGGTGGGGTACAGATGGTTTGGCACATCGTCACATTTAACACAACAAATATTCTTCTTCATTTAAAGAGAAACTAGAAACTTTACTGATATGCTTGGGGGCCACCACTACATTATTCAATTTACGATCAAAGCAAGAACAAACATAATTTTATTGGAATGTGCACTTATTTGTTAGATTATATATTAAATTTATAAAGCACAACCTAGGCAAAAATAGTCAAAAGAATTGGTTTCATTAGTCCTGTAGTCATTATAGTTAAATGTGCACCTCTTATCCAGATTCATAAAGCAAAATATAGACTTCCTGCGCATCCTCATATCGCCTCCCTTCTGCTCAACTACAAATCCTCATTTATGCCAGGGCCTTACCATCAAACTTGATATTGACACTGTCAATCATTTCTACACCTGAATTAATATTACCACACCTGAATTAAGGTTTATAACTAGAGCTAAAAACAGACTGTAGGGCTGGGAAACAGAAGAGAGACATTACCAGGAATGGTTAACAGACAGCAACATTGCAGAAGAAGAGATAATTTCAATTGTAGAACATCAAGACCGTTAAAAAGGAGAGAGGGTGTTAACATCTGTGAAGTGAAGGGAGATCAGCA